TTTTTTTTTTTTTTTTTTTAATTGTAAGATAGACTCTGGAGTTGTTAAATTTCTGCTTGCCTTTCTTGAGTTTTTTGGCGGGGAGCGAGGAGAAAATAAGAAACAATTTATATGGTAGATCTAAAGTTTCATTAAAATTGCTTATGCCCTGTCCCAGGCATTTTAAGTGGGCCATCTGTCTAAACATCTCTCCATTTTTTTCTGATCATTTCCTCGACTTATTCATGAGCCATGGGAGGGCTCCTTTGTAGTCTCCATGTAGCTGGTTCAGTCTACCCCCACTGAATACATCTATGTGCTTGCATAACATATCTTTTCACAGTGCTGGAAATTCTCTGAACTTAGTTCAGATGAATGGCCCACTTTCTGAAGGTCTTTTTTCTCCCCCTGCAAAGATTTGTATGCAGAAACTGACCTTGGTGGCTACAGAATCCAGCACATTATTCTTGATCATTTTACAGGCCACCTGCTGTGGAAGTTATGATGAAGGATTTCTTAATGATTCTTTGACCATTAACATTGTTTTAAGTCAATATTTCACTTTTATTTAACTGCTGAATAGGTAATTACACAATTGAGAAACAGCTTTACGGAGGGTCTTAGAATGTGGTTTTCAAATGCTTATAATCTTTCATAATTGCAGAATGTTATGAAAGTTGGGGATTTCTCTGTATTTACCTAAGGTATTAGGCAGCAAAAATATCAGAAGTAAAAGAATTAGTAAGTTTTTTCCCCCAGCGTTAGAACTTGCATTTTGAATGGGAAGTAAAGAAATCTATACTCAATTTCATGACCCTTTAGGAGCTGGTGACATTTATCATAGCTCATTACATCATCAACAGTAATTGAGAGAGAGAAGTTTATTTGCCACAAACTGCAGAAAATTGTAGTTTTATTGAGTTCCTTCTATCTGATTGGTTGGTGACGATCAAAGTGGACAGACTGGGGCAGAGCTATTACTTGGCTTGCTTTTGTCTGTTTTCTTTCGTTATTTGTTTTTGACTAGAATAGATAATAGTTTAACTCGTCTCTGTTTTCCATGAGCACGGTAAGTGTGTGTCAATCTAAAATTTTTAGCAATTGTCTACTTCCCTCACTGAAAACTTACAAAGAAAGCAAGAGCTATAATAGCTGCATTATTATAAAGTATCTCTCTCTTTTTGTCATGACAATTGGGAGTAAAAGGGACATAAGACACTGTGTTATGTGTGAAATAAATTATGAGACTGTAATAAGTTGACATAATCCATAGTTGAACAAATAGTGACAGAGATGAAAAAAAAATTAGGAGACACTCCTATGTTGCTTGTCATGCCATTTAAATATTTTTATAGCTCAAATACTTTACAGTGGTTCCCTTATGACTTAGGGCCGGGCTGTCAACCGTACTCTTATTGCTCCAGTTGCTCGTGAAACTTCCCTGTAAAAGGCGGTTCAGAACTGCCCGTTTCTGTATTGAAGGAGTTCAGGATGCCCTTCTCCATCCTCTATCCTGTCGGCACAGCCTTTTGCCTTCCCTCTGCTCTTTCCTTGTATGTGATAGCCCTGGCAAGGGAAAACAGTGCGCAGCTCTCTGGCCCTTCCTTATGTTCACCCAGTACTTGTATTGCTGCTGAACTAGTGTTTCTTCCTGCAGCCAGTGATCTCCATGCATAAAGAAAGTAATATCTTTGGTGAGACTTTGTTTGCCAAAATGGGGAGAAAAAAGGGAGGGCGTGTGGAGCCCTATGAAAGAAATACTGTGTAGATTTTGAATCTGAGGTTGGAGGGAAAGCTGAGTTCTTCAGTCTGAAATGCAAACCTTAAATGTTTTACATCTTTTATGATGGTAAAACTTACATTATTTTTTCTTTCAATATTTCTTCTCTAAATAAAAATATGTCAGATTTCAGCCCAGTAGGTAGAATTTCAAAAGTTACAAGTTTCTGGAAATGTCCAGAAATGTGAATGTTTTCCATCAACTAGCACAAAATATATTTAGGAGTTCAAATGTCCCCTCTTTAGAGGACTTAGAAGAGTAACCTTGCCGCAAAATGGATTATTTCCCATGCACTCGGACTTCTCAGACATTAAAAAAAACAAAAAAGTCAAAACCATTTCTTATCCTAACGGAAGGCTCTCCACTTCTAAAGTAGTTCACAGACTTGATAAACTTCCGTTCCAGATCCAAGAAGCTTTCCCAGATTGTACTTTGTGGTCTTTACCAATATGAAGAAACTTTTAATCCCATTAGAATGGAGTCTAGTGCTGCAGAATCGTTTGCTTGAAAGGAAGTTGATTTAGAGAAAACAAAAAAAAACTAGGATTCTCATGAGCTAACTCATGTGTCCATCTTAGTCAATATAACTATAGGTTATAGTCACAAAGCCACAGACGTTTAATTAGCAAAGCTGAAAAACGTCCCTGTGCAAAAGGATACAGCAGTTCCAGGAGAGAAGTACAACTTGCAGCATACTTTGGTATTAAACGCAGCTCTGGACATTGCCCTCCTGACCACCAGTGTTGCAGAAAGAGGAATTATATGACTGTGTGGCACTTTGAAACCCAGGCAAAGCAGTGATCATAGTCATGCCTTTCAAGAGGCATGCATCCTGTTTGGAGATACACTTGACAAAGCTCAGCAAGACAGGACCGAACAAAAATAATCCCTGCTGGAGAACAAGCCTGTCTTTCCTTTGATGGCCAGCAGCCAGATTCATGAGGTCACTTCCAGTCAAATGTAATATGAAGCAGGGCCATGCCAGCAGGGTTATAAGGAATCTCATGCCACTGGTGAAGTAGATCTACTAAGCTGTGTTTGAGCTGAGATTTTACCTCCTACGCAAGAAATACAAAGTTGCTATAAACTGCTAAATTCTGTTGGTGATTGCAATGGAATATGATGTAGAATTTAGCCAGGCTCAGGCAAAAACCCACTACATTCATTCTTATCGGTGCTCTAATACCAGGAAGTGCAGTGAAAACATCTCTCGGCTAGCTGCCTACTACCTATCCAGGAAATTCCTCAGTTCCTCCTCTTCAGGAACTCCAGTGTCTGTAACGTTTCCTATCGGCCAGGGTAAATGTTTTGGTGGCATAAAGGAACCTCAAGATGAGGTGCTGAGAAACGTCATTGCAACCAATAAGCCATAAATATTTCATCAGATTTGATGTTTTGACAATTTTCTCTGTATATTAATATAGAAGGTAACCCTTGGCATTGTTAGTTTGGGAACAGGTTGTCTGTGCTGTGCATGAACTTTGTGGGTCGATAGTAGCTGAGCTAAGATATTTGGAGAATTTTGAAGTAGGCCCTACTTGGTTTGGATCGAGAAGCGACTAATGATAAATATATATCTACCTGTTCAGCTAATATGTTTAGTGTTTCCGTTTTCCCCCTTGAGGCACACTGTAAGGCACAATTTTTAGAAACTGCTTGCTTAGTATTAGGTACCTTGTTCCTAAATCAGGCAACCTTAGGTAACTTGTGCCTAAATTTTAGGTGTCCAGAAAGCCAACCTTCTTAAAATAATTGCCTAAATTCTTTGCTAGTTGGTATATTATGCTTGTCTTAAGCAGACAGTTTCTCCTCATATGGCCTTTGGAGGCCTCAAAGGCAATTCTCCCTGTTGATTCAATAGAGAACTGAGCACTTTGGGGGAGGTCTGATTCACTGGGCACCTGAATTCTTAGCAGGCTGCATGCAACACAGTTCAGAAATGTGTATTTCCACAGGCTGCACGATATTGAGAAGTAGAATCTGGGTCAAGTTTTAAGATTCTGAAGTCTCCCCTAAAATAATGTAGTGAGCAGTACTGTCTATGATGCTAGTGAATAGGTGAGCACTACAGCAGAAGTAATTTTTAAGAAGAGATCTAAAGGTGATGAATTTATTATCCCTATAGGGATAATATCCCTATAGGACTACTTACAGAGAACTCTAAACATTTAGAGGCAATGTGGAAGCAGAGCTATGCGAAAATAATCTGCCTTTGTCTTAATGGAATTTAAACTCCACCTGCCTTGTTTGTTTGTTCATATGTTTTTTTCTTCAGGCCACAGCGGTGCTTGCCAGTGGTGCTGGAGGCTACTAGTCATGAGAAAAGCTTGCAGCTTATGATGTTAGTTCTTAAAACAAACTTGAAGAGAGTTGAGAAGTTAGGCTGAGGATAGTGAAATCAAAGTTACAAGTGGATGCATTTAAATAAAATACCTGAAAATTGTTTTGCTCTGAATTTGCAAGAATGGAGTTTCAGGTCTGATTTCTGTGCTGTCAGGTGTGCTTCTTTAAGCTGAAGTTGAAAAGGAGCAAGTTTCTTGCATTACCTGATAGCTGGCGCTTTTACAGGCTGCAGGAATAGATATAATCCTGCATATGCGTTGTGATACGTCGTTACTTTTCATTTTACTTAAGGTCTCTGTGGATGAAATAATATAAAATGTATATTATAAAATTATGCATATTATTTATTTGGCAGAATTTTTTGTCTAACTGGACTTTAACGTTTTATGAGAACGAGATAAAAGGGAGAGTGATTATGTTTTGCCCTCAGAAAGAATGCTGCAGCTATCACTGTTGCTATTCTTCTGCCAAACCACTTTCTCATCTGTTTTTCATCCTGTTTGAAATAATTCTGCAGCCAGTGCTGGATATATTCAAGTGCCCGTTGCAACTTTATCAGTGTACTCGGTGTGTGAAGGCAAATCTAGAAAGAACTTTGTGTGCATTTTCTCCTAATACACTATTTGACAGAAAAATATATCTAATTTTTTGTAAAAAAAACTCTCCATCTGTGTCCATAGCTTAATGGTGTTTTATATCCTTCATGATCATCCTATGAGGAAAGCGCTTCTGGTTAAAATGGATGAAGCATGAAATCTCTGTTTAAAATTCTTCTTCTGCCTGTTTCTTTTTTTAGAATTCCTATTGCTAAATCCCAGAGAAGTAGCTGGGAGCTTTCTGTGCACCTAGGAGATGGAGTTTACCCTGTTGCAGTTTCAAAGGATGGCTCATCATTTTCTGTAAGTTCTGCTCATTTTCCAGGAAATTTGATGGATTGAGACAGTGTATATTATTCCTGACTTCTACAATTCTCCATCTGTTCAGTGACCAAAGTTAGGTGTTTGTTTCATCTTTAGCAGGCATTACTGTGAATTACAATACTAGACTCCTGATGTTAATTAAATATTGCTAGTGTACAAAAATTTTACTCTGTTCATGTCTGTGGAACATTTTTGTATCTACTTGTTGCTAATTAGAAAACTAATTTAAGAAATCATGTTTAACATCATGTTTAAAAGTAAGGTCTTACGCTTCCCTGGTGGATACTGAGAGCAAGAAAATAATTGTCTTGCCCAAAAAAAATTACATTGGCTTAAGTCAGTGATAAAAAGAAATCAAACAACTGAGCAAGATAAATCTGGAAAGGAATTATTCAGCAGCTCAATGGTAAAACTGTATGCGGACTTAGTAATATGCCAGTATTTTGTCATGTGCCTGGAACACTTCAGATCCATGTGTATGAGTTACTGTTGTTGTTGGTGGTGGTGGGTGGTTTTTTTTTTTTTTTTTTTTTTTTTTTACAAATTTTCTAAAATAATTACTTAATCCATTAACATTGTCATTATGGAATGCAGAAAGATAGACCATAACCTTAGAAGAACAGAAATATTGTGTTTAGTTGTTCAATAGAATAAAGCCAAGATGCAAGGTGATTGAAGAGTGGTAGTGAGAAGATAAGTTTATAAAGAGAAATACTTTGTAAATCGGTTAATGCTAATTCCACTACCAAGCTGAGACTTTTAAAAATGAATAGTTGATTTGTATAGTATCTGTTGACCCTTAGGCAGAAGTTATTAAAGTGGTCTAAAGAAGTCACTTTTTCTTAGAATTATGGAAATGCGGGACTGTGAGGAACCTCAGAAGTTATCTAGTCTGCCTCTGACAGCTGTTGGCTCTTCTTGTCAACCTTTACTGAAGAAGTTTCTGCAACATCTGCTTCATAATATTTTTGTATAGTCATAGTGTTTATACCTATATTACATTCAGAATCATGAGAGTCCTTTGAAAGAGGACATTGAGACAAAAATGTAATGAAGACAGTGTTGTCTCAGTGATTTACTTTTGCTTTGCTCAACTAAAGCTTCTTTTCAAAAGACATGCTTTTCCGTAGAAATTGGTCATGTTTTTAGATAGCTGTTTTCACTTACATGAATTGATATAATGAATATTTAGAATTCTTTTCTCTTTGGCCTTACTGGGGCAAGGAGACAACTAATCTGTCCTTTTTTTATACTATCTCTAGCTCTGTCACACTATATTTCACGTATTATGCTCACAATGACTGTGAAGGCAGAGAATGTGATAGAGACCAGGGATACTTTCTGTCCCATATGGAACACGCTAGGCATGCAGAAAGAAGGGCGTAGAGAAGATCAGTGGTTGTGGTTGGCATCTTTGTGAATTTTCTTTTGCAAGCGTGCTACTTTAAATGTGAAAGAAGGTGGTTGTTTTTCGGTGTAGTTGCGATTTCTTTCAGAATGGATTCCGTGAGATCTTAAAAAACTGTTCACTCTGTATCTAGTATATCGTTCTGTCCGTGGCTGTGACATTCATCCCACTTGCGGAATTCCGCTGCGGGAGCTAAGGGCATGAGTGCATGCAGATAGAACTTTTACAAAATTAATTAAATTTATATAATGGCTCTAGCAGGCCTCGTGTGAACTTGGACACAGCCCATCGCTCAAACAACAAAACCTCTCTGCCGGATTTCAGCCCAGTTTAGAGCTGGACTGGCACTGAGGTTTGCGCGGCTGAGATAGCCCTTTCCAGCAGCAGTTGTTGCCCCTCATGCTTTCCCCCTTTATGTGGCAGTGTAGCTATCTTGCAGCAGTCAGCCTGGAGCTGTCTGCTGCTGTGAAGAAGATATAAGATGGCGGCTGCTTGCTGTGAGTGTTGGATAGGTTGCTTCTGCTCTGCACCCAGAAATCTAATCTCCATAGTTGGGCCTCTTTGAATTAGGCGTTTGGTTTAGCATAGCTAATTGAAATGCATGCGTCTACACCTACTTCCCTACCTCCCAACTTATTTTTTGAGTGGCTTATGTCATTTTCACTTAGTTATCTAGGCTCAAGCTTATACGGGCTTAGTTATACTCAATCAAGATGCATCTTTAAGTCAAACTGAGGAAAGTTTACAAATAGAGGAGGCCGAAATAGTTCATTTATGCTTTTGTCTCTACTGGTTGTGAAGATACCTGAAAATACAGACTTATATATGAGTCAGTTCTAGATTTCACTTGCAGCTGAGATGTGAACTGTTCTCTGTATCTTCAAGCAGTGCTAATTCTGAGAAGGAATGAAGAAAATGTAATACTATTGTTGCCAATTCATTATTTTGACATACACAAAAGCATACGTACTTATTCCATGCTACAAATCTGTCTGTTTTGCAATTCCAGCTGTGAAAAGCCCCAAGTCGCTCAGCAGCCTCTAAAATCTCCAAGCACCCTCAGTGCCAAAATCAGCAACGGTTTAGGAAGCCTAAATGTGGGGACAACATAAAAGAAATTGAATTTTATATCAAAATAAGTGGAACCAAAAAAAAGTCTATTTCAGTTTAAATAGGACTGCTAAACAGTTCTTATATCTTGCAGCACTATGAGCATGGCAGCTAATTTAAGCCCAGTTTAACCTGGTATACTTCGTGAAGTCTTTGATTTTCAGTCCTTTGGTTTATTATTCAAACAGTAACACCTCCAATATAATCAAGTGGTCTGGTGTAATGAACTAGGCAAGAATGAGTCCTTAAGCCTGGGCTTCTTTTTTTCTTGTTTATTTTTGTAAATTCTTCAAAATCTTTCAAAAAGTCTTTTGGGCCCCTTTTCCTTCTGTTCATAAGTAGGGAGAGCACTTAGAGAGAGCAGTGCTGTGCAGGAGTGCCATCTGGGCATCTTTGGTCCACAAAGGTTGCGGGTATTATAGGTGGAAAAAAAAAAAAAAAAAAAAACACGCTTTATTTACTTGTATCTGGAAAAAAAAAATCTTATTTATATCTAGAAAATTCCTTACCTTAGAAACAGATCCCAGTAGATTGATTTGACTGATGACCATAGAGTCTATCCCACTTAAGCCTTAAGGTGTAATGTTTTAAAAAGTAACCCCCAGCTTCGTTTTCTGAAACGTAACTGTTTTTGAATACTAAGGTTCTACTATAGCTACAGTTGTTATTCATTGTTACTGGACAAATAGAAGAAGACTTTTAAAATTAATTTTCTGTTTTGCAGGGGTTCTTTTTCTTGTGTGTTTGATTGTACTGCAGACAAGAGAATATAATAAACATGACAGTCAAAAATCTTCTGAAAATATTATTCAAAGTTTTACAATGGAAAAACAATTGTCTTAAAACTTTAAAGAAGAAAAATCAAAGAGCAGGAAGAAGAAATCTTGTTTCTGACCAGGAGGCGTAACATACCATCAGAAATAATGGGAAAATTCAAAGCCTTCTTTATTAACTTTGCTGTCAGAAATGCAAGCCTCACTTTTTGAACTTCTGCATTTACTTTTTGCTATTAAGTTGGTGTGACATGGGCTCCTGACTTTGTGAGTTGTGTCCCCTTGTGGCTTGTGACAAAGATAGCTGAATCTGTAGTGCGGTTAGGTAGCCCAGTGGGAGGGCCACCTTCACATTCCCCTTCAGAAGTTTGCTCCTGCTGCAAACTGTGCATTGCAGCAGCGGTGTTCGCATTCTGATTTACTTTCTGTTTACCGCTGGGACTCTTCCAACAGTGACTCCTTTCTTTTTTCCGTAACTCTTCTAGTCTCAGCCGAAACCTCACCACCTCGCAGTGTGCATTGCTTTGCTCTCTGTGTAGGGAGTATGAGCAGCAGGCTTCTCCACGGCTCCTGCTGCTTGTGAACAGATCATTCGTCAGCATCTTGGTCTGTGGGTTATTTGTGGTTTTCTTCCTTTATTGTGAGCATCTTAATGAATTGTGCATCGCTGACTGCTATTTGCTACTCTTTATTTTTCAGGATTTTGAGTTTTTTTAACTATCCCCTTTGAACCATTTTATTAGTAACAGAGGTTCTTGATGCAAGCTGCTCTGAGCACTTTAGAGACCTAGCTTCCCAGAGCTCCAGGGCGTAGAAGATACATGGTCAAATCTGAGCAATACTGTTTGCCTGAAGCAGTACAAACAAACAAACAAACAAACAAACAAAGTAGGTAGTTTTCTTGTTTCCAGTGGAGGCTAAAAAGCTTCTATGAATTCTAATTTTCCTAATCCTTCTTTTAAAATAAAGGTAGCTCTCATGATTCTGAAGCCAGCAATATATATGCTAATACTTAAGCTTGTACAAAATTAGCATACTAGAATTTTCAGGATCAGATATTTATTTCTGGTGTTACCATCTTGACTTAGTAACAAACACTTTAGCAATTAAAGGGTTCTAATGACCTGACTAGAGAATTAAAATCTAGCTACTTTGGTGAAATCTTTTCTTATGTACTAAGAACTAACCTACTAAATTCATGTAAATGTCATTTGTGCTCTTTTCTTTGTTCCTTATCCTGTGTATTAACTGCTAGAAGAACCTGTTAAGTGACCACGTATCATATATCCATTTAATTCTTTGGAGGACAGACGATATGATTCTAGCCTTAGTTGAGTATTCTTCTTGCACTCATCATTTTTCCTTTCATCATTGGAGGAAAAGATCCTACAATCAAGACTACTGCTAAAATAAAATTTGAAGGAGGAATACATGAGACTAATGTAAACCAGCAACAAACAGTCCAGAAACATCCCTCCACCAGGCTCTGGAATCTTTTTGTTTAGTCCAGTTTCAGACAGGAATCTTTTTCATCTCACCCTTTTTGGTGGATAGGACAATCTGGCTGTGAAATGTGTTTACATTCTGATTTTATTAATACAAAGATGTAACCCAGTTTTGCTGTTGAAGGTTGGAGTCTCTTCTTTCTTCATAAAGCCTGAGTGTTCTGCAGAGTACCAAAGGCCTGG